ATATATATATATATATATATATATACATATACATATATATATTTTTTGTATTTCTCATTGCTTGAGTTTTGCTTTCTTGGGAATAAATTTTAAGAGTTCAGTTTCTGCCTTGTACATTTCGAAGTTACCATTTCAGCTACAGTGAAATCCTGCCATTTGAGGATTCCCAGTTTGACTGCATAAGCCTTCCAGTCAAAACTCCCAAGATTAAAAAAAAAAAACAAAATAAAAACCTCCCAAGATTTTTCTTTTCTCATACGTTCTTATTGTAAGAGCAGTATATTGTTTATTGAATATCTACCTTGAACTAAGTGCACTAATGTTTCTAACAATTGCTTGTATTATTTATCAATGTCATACATGAAATTTGGGGAGGGAATACTATCCCTTCATTTGGAGACTTGCCTATTGCATATTCAAAACTAAATTGTTTCATTATACTCACAAATCTATATGAAAAATGAGTTATCACTGCTGTGTTTTTCTTCATTAACCATGTAGGTCCTCCAGGTCTTAAAGGTGATCGGGGAGCAATTGGCTTTTCTGGACCTCGAGGATCCCCAGGGCCACCAGGGAAGACCGGAAGGACAGGTATTGTGATAACATATATTTTCTTTGTATACCAAAAGCAATGGCCATCCTAGTAGGAATAGTAGACTCACATGAAGTTTATTTTGTGGTATGAAACATTTTGAAACTAATTTTTCTCTACCTGAGGAAAGTTTCTATGCCCTAAAGGAAAATAGTCTTTAAGAAAGAAAAAAAAAAAAGACTACTGAGGATTTATAAACTCTACCCAGCCATAAATCACATGAAGAATGGTGTCTTATCTTAGAACAAAGAGAATGGAAAGCCTAGCAAAGAAAAACAAGCAAAGTATAAATACCCTTTTAACCCAAACTGGCCAAACCCTGGAAAGTTATAGTTAGCAATCTACAGATAGGTCAGAAATACTATTCTGTGCAAGATAAACTAACTGCTGTTATGTATTAGTTCTTAATAAACTACATTGTTCAAGCTCTTTAAAATTTATGTGATGACATTTTTTCTACTCCTTAGGAAAAGGAAGTAGCCTATGCTTGAACTGTAAAATTTGCATAGAAATTTTAGAAAGAGACAAGCTTACTGTTTCCTAATTTCAAAGTAAATGATGACTGAGACAACAGGATCCTTATCATCGAGCTTTTTTTTTAAAAATAGTTTTTGTTTTTTAGACTAGTTTTAGGTTTAGAGAAAAATTGCACAGAAAATACAGAGTTCTCATAAACCCACATCCAGTTTCCCTGTTAATGTCATTAACATGGTGTATTTGTAATAATTGATGAACCAATATTGATACATTATAAGTAATTTAAGTCCACAGTGTACAATTCACATTTGGTTTTATACATTCTGTGGGTTTTAACAGCTGTGTAACAACATGTATCCACCACTGGAGTACTATACAGAGAATTTCACTTCCCTAAAGATCCCCTGTAGTCTACATACTCATCACCACCACACTCCTCAACTTGGCACAACCACTAATGTTTTGACACTCTCTGTAGTTTTGCCTTTTCCAGAATGTCATGCAGTTGAAATCCTACTGAATGTAATCATTTCAGAATGGCTTATTCCGGGGCGCCTGGGTGGCTCAGTGGGTTGAGCCGCTGCCTTCAGCTCAGGTCATGATCTCAGGGTCCTGGGATCGAGTCCCACATCGGGCTCTCTGCTCAGCAAGAAGCCTGCTTCCTCCTCTCTCTCTCTCTCTGCCTGCCTCTCCATCTACTTGTGATCTCTCTCTGTCAAATAAATAAATAAAATCTTTAAAAAA